CTTACCTATAAGCAACTAATAAATTAAATTATAACTTTTTTCTTCAAATGTATACATTACATATTGAAGTTAAATATATTTTAATTATATTTAAAAATTACTAAAGAATCATCAACTCTATTTAACGCATTTTTTATTATTTTTGAATCTGATGCGGTCCCCTCCCACCTAACTAAGACGTATGAAAATTTCAAATAAAATGTACAAACTGCCAATAGATTTTGGGTGGGGAAATCTTTTCTCTTGTGAAACCGTAGAACATCTTTTCCAGATACTTTAATACATATATGTGTTCCGTCAATTGTACCAATACAATTCTGAAATTAATTGTTTACTAATTAATTAAACATACACTTATATTAAAAGAATTAATTAAACGTATATAACTTATATATATACCTTAAAAAATAGAAAAAATCTAGAATTGTTGGCTATATTCGAAGACACTTGTGATCCATTTAGTTAATTAATAAATTTATTGGCCATATGTAGTATACATCATAGCAGATTATAAAAATGACGATATGTTGTCTCTCCAGATCGTCGAAAAATCTAAGATATGACTCGATTTCTCTTATTGTGTCATAATAGGTAAAGTATGTTAAGTACTTGTTTCGCGACAGTTAAACGAACGGTATGCCTAAGTTCACTATCTATAGCTAGTAAATGACATAAATTCTTAAAAACTGAAGCTCTTATCTTAATTATATGCTGATAAAACTCACTTGATAATAAATTTTACATAAGTTTATCTCGAGCTTTCTCTTCTTCTAATCTTAATTCATGAGTAAGACTATAATTTATCTCACGCCTCCTATGAACTACTAGCCCATGAAATATGATAAACTGACATACTAAAATAACTATACATCTTAAAATATCAATCTTTCTTACCTAATATGTGAACAGAAACGATACCAAATGATTGAATCAAAACCAAACAATGAGTAGAATATTATACAACAAAAACATTCAATCCTTTTATATGAAAACAATTTATCAATGAAATGCATCAATACGTAGAATATTATACAACAAAAACATGAAGAAAAAAGATCTATAAGAGGCTAAGAACCAGAGACATAAACATCAAAGGCACAACTTTATTATACCCAGTTAGCTTTCTAGAAATGACATAGACAAATATAATTAAACCAAGACTTCAAAAGGCACCAAACTGGTACATGTTATCTAGCGTCAATATATAAAGAAATTGTAAAAGACTATAATCTATAAGTCTACGAAGCTTTAAACCCTAACATTGCTTTAACCTCTATAATCAACTTAAAGAATCCACCATCCTCCTAAGAAAACAAAACGTGGTAAAATAACAATCATTGCTCCACTATTTTTTTAAAAATAAAAGTAAGACAGTATTATTAACAAAGTACCAAGTAGGTATACTCATATACAAGTAATTACAAGTCAATCAAAATATTAAAAATAGCTCAAAAATCCTCAAGCTCTCTAATATCATAACCCAAAAGTATAGAACCAAAAGAGTGGATCCAAGTATCTTTAATAGTAGTAAACTCTTTCTCAATACTCTCAAAAGCTCTTAAGTTTCGTTCCTTCCAAACCACTCGAAAAATAGAAAATAGAATTAACTGTAACAATTGCTCTTTTTTACGCACCCCATCCCAAGCCCACAACTCCTCCCTCACACTCCCAACCACCACCTAGTTTAACCCCAATAATTTGTAAACCATAGACCAAATGTCATAGGCAGCAGGGCACCACAGTAAATATGATTTCAAGTCTCCTCATCTTTTTTGCACAAGAAGCATTTATTAGAATGTTCTCCCTCATTCTAAGCATATTAACAGTTAAAATGCACTCCATGGCAGCTTCTCACACATAAAAAAAAAAAAACACTCTAGGTGGCACTTTCGATCTCCAGATTTGTTTATGCGAAAAACAACTCTCAAGCTCCACAATTAAATCCAAATTTTACAATGACACTAAAATGATAAGTCGTTTCAATCTATTAGTTATGACGCCTCAAATCTTCTCATTACCTACCCTTCACAGACACCTAGCAGTTTAAGGAAATCATCATCCTCCCAACAAAATATGGT